AAAATAGTTATTCAAAATCATTCTAGTACTGGTATGAACCTTGTGAATCTTTCACGTTTCTTTTCAATATCTATCAATCTTTGAGAACAATTGAAATGTTTCCCTCCCTTCTTCATTATTACTTAACTGTTAATAAGCATACCATTGGATAGTCATACAGTTTTATCTTATAAATTATTTAATATTAATAAGCAAAATAATTATTCAAATTCATTCTAATAACTGGTATAAATTTCTTTATAAATCTTTCACATTTCTTTTCAATATTTTATCAATCTTTAGAAACAATTGCAATGTTTCCCTCTCTTCTTTATTATTGCATTAATTATAAATAAACATACCATTACATAACAATACAGTTTTATCTCATAGATTATTTACTTATTTCATTTCTAACTCATTACAGTATTTTACTGTCACAACACTATCTTTTGTACCTTTGCAGAATCCTCACTTTTAACTTAATTTAACCATTGTCTCTGTGTTTTCTAGCTGAGCAAATACCTTTAATCCTAGTATGTTTCCCCTTTTTTTTATTTCCTGTTTTTGTCCCTCATAAGTTCTTTCCCTTTCTATCTTCCCGCCTTTTTCTCATCCCTTTTTTTATACCCTTCTCTCTCTAATTTTCCCTTCTGTAGTTTTCTTTTCTGCTTCTCCTTGCTGTTATACTTCTTTTTCAGACTATTTTTCTTTTTGGCTGTTCCCTTTGATCTCAAACTTTTAACTCCTTTCCCCCTTTTTCCCCTTATTACCACACTTTGCATTATTTGGTCACTGAAAATGGCTTCTTCTTTGTCCCGCCCTTCTTCTTGCTCTTGAAGCTTTTCCTTTCCCTTTTCATAGTTCAGGATCTCAATTTCAAAAAATTCAAATACGAAGCCAAAGGATCTTCCTCCCCTTTCTGCATCTTCTTTCTGTTTTTAAAGACTCATCTTCAATTCCTCCACGAGTGATGGCATTTTAAACACTTTTGAACAACCACCAGATTGACTTTAAGTAAAAACAGAAAAAGAAAGAAAACAATGCCAAAAACTTTTTTTTAAAATCACCAAATGATCCCAGACTGTTCCTTCTTGTTTCTTTCCTTTACTTTTCCTTTCCGTGGGTTACTGTATCTTTTAATAAGATTTCAGTTACAATGTATCCTCGGGAGTCTTTTCAAAGTTTCACTGTTAATCCTCTTTATTTTTCCAGGTAACACTCCATTTTTCCATTATTCCAAGTCCCACCCTTTTGCCTCCACTCTTCTCCTTTTTAGGGCTTTAAAATGACCAAGAAAAAATCTTTATTCTCCTTTTGACACTTAGATTTCAGCTTAAGGTTGCCTATTAGTGTCAAAATAGATTAATATGAATTTCTTTCCATACCATTTGTAATTGTCAATATAAAGGTTAAAAAAAGGTTTTTAACCTCCTTTTCTCTCTCCTTCGTCGCTTAAAGATCTTCTTTCAGAAGTATCCCTCTAGGTACTTTTAGATTCAGGGTACCTTGCTTAGATGTTCTCTGTTGTTTAGCTCAATCTGTCCTGCTTTCCTCTTTGTCTTCCTCCTGTACAATCTTATCCAGTCGGGTTCTTCTTTGAGGTGGCCATTTCTGACCACTGCTGCAACCGCTTTTGGGGAAGGGAGTTTAGACCAGCCAAGGAGGAGAGATGTGGCTCCCCTCCACTCGGCTAGTAATCTCCCCCCTCTTCACCACCTCTGCGGGGTGGCTTCAGCCCCGAATCCAAAGGATCGGGGCACTCCAGCGGCGAGCACAGATCGAAACCGTGCACGATCGCGGATTTCGGTCTGTCGCTGAAGAGACCCAAACCGGAAGTCCACAAATGAGAAAGGATGTGGATAAAAATTTACAAATTTACACTGTGCTATAACTGAAAAGAGATGATTTATAAATTGATGCATTATTGGTATAGGACACAAAGAAATTTTCAAAAATGTAGAGAAGTATTTCAAATCAGTATGTGAAAAATGTGAAAAACATGATGGACATTTTATAATGCATGGTAGACTTGTGATAAAAGTGAAGAAATTTTGGATACAAATCATACAATGCTGCAAAAGATTTTAAAGATAAATACTGTGAAGACCTTTTTTATTGGGACTTATGGATAACGAATTAGGAAAAAGATATATCAGATTGATTTTGTAAACAATAACTTCAAAGATGGAAGTAAAGTGAAATTCCTACAATGGGAGAATAGCTTGTGAAAATGTCAGAATTTAATAAGCTGACCTGTTTTGACAGAGAAACAACAAAAACTTTCTGAAAGACTGAAAGCCTTATATGGATTTTTACTGAAAAAATAATAAAATGATATAGTGATTTATGGGTTGAAGGATTAAAAAAGATGTGCATTAAATGAGTATCTAAAGAGATTTGCATAACATAATTTTCAATAAATATAAATTAATAAGGAAATGAAAATAGAAACCACACTTGGTTATCTACAGGAAAGAATTTTACTTATTTATGGTTTTGATTTTTGGTTCTGATTTACAAGTTTTTCTATGTGTTTTATTTATAGTAAGATTACAAAAAAGGTAGATGAGCTTTTGCACATTCAAATAATGTTTTTTTCAAGATCTCATTATTCACAATTTCATTAGCCATGATTATTAGATTGGTACAAAACCCTTATGAATAATGAAGGCCACGTGCTTTCATAATCATGATTATGTTCTGATTTTATTGTATTTTGTAAAGTACTTAGGAATCTCAAACAGTACTAAGGAATCTTCTTAGAAGAAGCATGTAAAAATACATATTCATCTTCTAGGTTTTTCAAAAGATGTTTAATTTTAAACTTTCCTTTTAGTATGTAGTGCTGGATTTTATGGCACAAGCTGTGAAACCAAATGCCCAAAGTGTAAAGATGACCTTCCCTGCAATCCTATCACTGGCAAATGTATAGCTCCTACTCTAACAAAATGTGGTTTAGACTCTCCAGATCCAAAATGTACTAAACCAGGTAAAATATACTACTTCTAAACATTGATAACTTTTTCTTTCCCATTTTTCTTTCCTTTTTAAAATACTCAGTTTGTTTTTGTTTTCTTATGGTTTTTCTTATTTATTTTTATTTGCATGCCATTACTTACCTATAATACATAGAATCAACTGAGCTTTAGGATTGTAAGGATCACACAGTAACATTTAAACTAATATATAATTATTACATTTTAGAAGGTACAGTATGTTCAAATTAATCAAATTTATAAAGCCATACATCTTGAATCGTACACACTCCTATGTCTGCTACATCTCTTTTTCTGTGCTATGGTTTTAAAAATGTCCTACTATGCAGATCAATTGTCTATTAGAAAACTGATAAAACTTACATAGCTTATTAGTAAAAAAGTTGCCTTCAGTATAACTAAACTCAAAGCTTTTATTAATACTAATGTTCAATTATATTATCACATGTGAGATTAATACAGTATGTTAATACCATTTGTGACTCAGAGTAGGCACATTTATGCAATCAAGAAGAGAAAATCATTTCAATATTATTAATGCCAGTTTTCAGTTTTCTGTGTCAAGGAGAAAATTTCTATTAGAATAATAGGAAGAATAGAAGATGCAACAGTTTAAATATACTGTATATCTATTGAATTTCTATGGATGGTGAATTTGCATTTTCTTTTACTGGAAAATTTACCAAAGATCTAGAGGAAGTAGAATATGGTCTAATTTCTCAGGTTTCTTTACAATGGGATCAGACTTTCATAATTATTTAAAATAACATTCTTTCTGAGAAAATTCATCTTTGTGAACTACTCTTAGATTTATGTCTGGTTCGGTACAATGGACTCTCTCCCTAAGATAGATGCTGTTGGGTTTGACTTTAGCAATGGAGCAGGAATTGATTTTTTTTTATCCAGTGTATACAGGTAGAGGTATCCTTTATGTATGTATGTATTTATTTATGTGCAACCCAAAGATCAACACCAGCCCCATTCAAAAGGACCTGAAATCTCTCCTAAAGCCTGAAAAAGTGACTGGGGCTTTAATAGCTGCCTGATCATCATCAGGGTTCGAGCCATCTTGATCTCTGGGGAAATCTATTTTGCCGAGGGCAGGCATTACAAGAGAAAAGCACACTTCTTGAGTAACACTAGATAGCACTGTTTAACTGATAACATCCAAAGTATGCCCACTCTGCCAAAACTTACCAAAGAGACAGAAACAGCTAGAGACAGGCCGTTCTTAAATAACTAGGCCTCTTTGCTATGGAGGGATTTATTAGGTAGCAACCAGCATCTTGAATGGCATCCAGAAGCAAAAATGTGCAACTCAAAGAACAGTAGAGTTTCTTAAAAATAATGAAGCATGACTATCATTGCCCACACTAAACCTTACAGCTTTCAAGGGGTCTTCAAGCCTGGGTCACATTGCAGTAAATCTGTTTGTAGGGTGACCAAAGTATATGTGAACATTTGAAAGGTCTTCTGTTTCAGGAAAGAATGCAAACTGTGCATTAGATATACCTGTGAAAAGATTCTTCTTTCAGTATAAGGGTAATATTTGCTTTCATCCACAAATCTGGTACCTTTGCTTCTAATTGTACTTCGTTATAGACTTCCAACATTGATAGACCTAAAATATTTTGTAAATACAGACAGCAACCCATCTGGTCCTGGTGTTTTGTTATTCATTTGCCTCTTGATTGCTTCTGTTAATTCCATCATTGTTATTTATTCATTTAACATGGCTTTCACTATATCAGGGGCTTTAGGTAATTCAGCTTTTTCCAAATATTGTTTTATTTTATCTTCTGGAATTTTCTCATGATCATACAGCTTTTCATAATAATCTTGAATTATTTTTTTATCATCATTTTGGTAATAGAGAATTCCTTTCTCATCTACCAATTTCTTTTCTTTCTCATTTTTCAGTTTATATGCAAATCATCTTCCTGGTGTATTTGCATTTTCAAAGAAATTCTGTTTAGCATTTCTATTTTTTTGTGCCAGTTCTTCTGTATTTAATAAATTCAATTTATGTTTTATTAATTCCATTTGATTTTTTTCAATTCTTTTTTGTGGTTCTTTTTGTAACTTTAGTTCTAGTCTTTTGTGTTTTTCTTCTAATATCTTTTGGTTTTGTTTCTTCTTATTTTTCTTTCCCATATAAGCTATAGCTAGTCCCCGGATATATGCCTCAGCAGAATCCCATATATTTTGCAGTAAAGTCTCTTCTTTCCTATTCTCTCTAAAAAAGAAGTCCAATTCTTTTTCCATTGTTTGTATAAATTCCTTGTCCTTTAATATTGATTGATTCAGCATCCATCTCAATTTTCTCTTTTGTCCTTTCCACTTAACTTTTACTGGGTTGTGGTCTGCCCAGACATTTGATTCTATTTCCATTTCTTGCACGCTTGCTTTTAACTCCAGTGACATCCATATCATATTTCTTCTTGACCAAGACTTCTGTCTATTTGAGTAAAATGAATATTGAGTTTTCTTATGGTGTACTTCTCTCCATACGTCTTGAATACCTATTTCTTCTGCCATTTTGAGCAAGGTCTTTGGAAATGTTTTTCTAGATTTTACTAATTTAATAATCAAATATTGCATCTACAATTGCATTAAAATCTCCTACCACACAAATATTTTCATATTCCAATTCTATAATTTTCTGGTAGAGTTTTTCCATAGACTTCTTCTTGTTTATTATTTGGTGCATATATTGCTGTCAAAAGTATCTGTTTTATAATTCATTGTAACCTCCACCATCAAAATCCTCCCATGTTCATCTGCAAAATTTGTCTAGCATTTATTGTTTCTTTAATATATAAGGACCCTTTTGCTGTGCTAATGAAAAATATATTTTCCCAATTTTAGGATATTCCAATAATATGTTATATTATTTTTTAATGTGGACCTCTTCAAGACAAATTAAGTCTAATTTTAATTTTCCTAATTTATTAAAGATTGTTTTCCTTTTCATAGGAGAGTTCAATCGATTTATAATAATTGACAGCAATTTTATTTCTTCTTCCATCGTTTTATTTATAGATAGGTCTTGCTCTTGTGGTTGTTCTTATTTCTCTCTGTTCTTTTATCCTTGCACATTCTCTCTCTTTTTTTTAAAGAAAAATACTTTATTAAACAAATTTATACAAATACAATAAAACCAAACATTCCGCTTATCACAACGTGAGCAAGACAGTGTTCACTCAATCTGACATCTCTCAAATTATGTAGAATAATCATTCACACTTATTACATTAATATATAACACAAAGTTTAATCTAATTATATGTTACAAACATAGTTACATGTAATGTTTATCCTTTCACATTCTCATTCTGCTCTTTCTTCCTGCTCTATTTCACCTTTCTGTTGTTGTGTGTTTCACCCTCCTGCTGCTTCCTCTTGTCCTTTATCATCTATTTCCTCTCTTCTTCTTTTTTCCTCATATGACCCAAAATACTAGTCATAAAATTGCTCAGCTTTATATATAGAGTCCATTCTGTGTCTCTTTTCCATCCACGTCAACAATATTCCCTCGGGTATCAGCCATCTGAAATTTACTTCATGTTTAATTAATTATCTTGTCAAAAATCGATATCGTTTCCTTATGTCTCTTACTCTTCTGGGGATCTGTTTCAGGACTACTATTTCTCTCCCTATATATTTCAATGGCTCATCTCTTGAGAGTATTGTTCTCTCTCATCTCTTGAGTATGCTCTCTGGAGTATTTCCACTCTGATTGTCTTCTTAGAAAACTTCACATGTAACTCTCTGGGGAGCTTATTCCTTGTCACAAATCTTGTATATATTCTGAATAATTCATCCATTCCAGCAAGCATCTCTTGTTTGTTCACCTCCAGGACATCCGCCAGCAACTCTGCTATTTTCTCAGCGAGGTCTTCCCCTTTTCCTTCCTCAATGTTCTGAAATCTCAGGAAATATTCAGCTTTATCCATATCCAAAGTAATTACAGTTCTCTCCACATTCTTGTCTGCCTGTGTAAGCCGGTAATCCATATCTTTGACTTTTTCCTCTGTTCTAACTTCTACTTTCTTGTTCACTTTTAGTTATTATTTGTTGGATATTCTCCATTTTATCATCTATCTTTTCCATACTTTCCTTTATGTCATCTGTAAAAAGATCCTGTTAGCCACAGTGGCCACTTGTTCATTCTATAGGAGATATGAGTTCAAGACAATCCAGAAATTGTGCTCCAATCTTGAAGTATATTTTTGTTTGACCTCTTTTCCCACATGTAACCATGTGAAGGATTGCATTATTACAACTGCTTTTTTTTTAAAGTTTTCACAGGCATATGTCCAAAACTACCCCAGTGGTATTATTTTTCCAAAGCATGTTATTTTGTGGAAAACATTAAAAAAGATACATGGGAAAATGCAAGGATTGCTTGCCAAGGATTTAAGAAAACAGACTTAGTTAAAATTACAAACAGCCGTGAAAAGGTATTATTTGTTTTACTATTTTCATATTATGAGTTAAATTTCATTTTATGAGGATTTTGGGGACAAGGATATAAAGACTAACTGCATGTGCCTGTTACAGAAATGATTGGGAAGAAATACATTGGGCTTAACATAAAACCCAGCTTTTTCTGCTTCTAATATTT